GGTTATGATGAGAGTAGTAAGTTTGGAGTTTTAGTATAAATAGAGGGTGTTGTATGAAGTTTTTCATATCAAACTTTCCTAAGTATTCCTAAGTATTTCTCTCTAAACACTTCTCTCTATTTTCTCTCTTTGATATTTCTTTACAAAGTTCCAAGCATAAGTGCTATAAATCTTCAATATTCTCACGTATTTCTTTCTTTGCACTATTCACTAAAGAAGAAAAGATAAGAATCTTGTGAATAATAATATAATACAAGCTTCGTAACATGGTATCATAGCTGATTACGGTTCAAGGGACGACATTGCACTAATCCAAGCATAAGGAAGAGCACTAGATCGAAGCACAAGACGCACCACGAAGCACTACTTGCACGAAGAGCACTATGGCGGTAAATGATAACGCAAATCTAGGTGTATAAATAAGCTCAAGTAATAAAGACCTAGATACAGCGAATACCGCAAGGATACCGATCAACTGTAGTACCAGAGTCGAACACAGGGAATAGTTAACACTAAGAACAAGACTCGACTAAGATTCAGATCAGCGAATAGCAGATGAAACAGATGAATATCGAAAATAAAGCAATAAACAAACTAAGTAAACCAGATAACTAAACCACCGTAGCTTCGGGATAACCTTAACGCGCAGGGATTGTTTCTAAGGATGGAGAATCTACGAATATCGAACTCTAATCGGAGATCTCAAGTTCTAATATCAGATTTGGCTCTCTCAAGTCCTAAATCTACTATCCAATAATTTAACATATCGATCTCTCAACCTAATAGATCAAAATATCAAATGCATTAACGATCACTATCACAGTTCCTAAACCGATTAACCTATCTCTCAATAGTCTTAATCAATTCATTCAATGAATTCGTTCCGAATCTAATCTCAACTCTCGTTGCAAATCAGAATCTAAAATCAATCAATCAACTGGCCCAGAAGATCAAAAGCAATAAACTCAATTCAATTAAACCGAAGAGTATCGATAACGTAGTCTCGGAAAATAAAAACCAAACAAATCCCTACAAGATTAAATTCCTAGCTACAGTGAAACGACTACTCACTACTCATAACAACAAACGAGTTCAAATCAATAAAGAGAAACATGGAGAACAGATAGAGAAGAAACTCGCAGCGATCTCTCGACGACGGTTCTTCAATCTCTGCTTCCGGAAAACTCCATATTGATTCTCTCTCGAGTTCTCTGGCTTCTACTGTGATCTCTCGATGATTTCTGAAGTCTAAGACGTCCTCTATTTATTTCCTTGGTAGTTAGGCTTCTTCCCGTACTGAAAACAGAAGTCCGGATGCAAAATAGGAAGTTTTCTCGTAATGCAACACGGCTGTGTCGAATGCAACACGGTTCGTGTTAATTCTCTGTTAAAAATCTACACTTTAGACATGGGTTGAACACGGGCGAGTTTGAATCAACACGGCCGTGTCGAATGACAACACGGTCTGTGTCAATTCTCTTAGCAAAACTTCACTTTTTTCAGCACAGACACAACACGGCCGTGTGAATTCAACACGGTCCGTGTCGATTCTTCAATTCGAACATGCTTGACAGATTTGCTCATAACTTTCTATTCCAATGTCGGATTTGTGCGATCTTGGTGTCTGTACGTAGATATTGAATAGAGCTTTCCAATGAGGTAGATAACGCAAATTTGGACTTGTAGAGGGAAAGTTATTGGACTTGCAAGATCTGACTTTTTAGGCTTCGTGTTTTTCTCCAGAACAACTCCAAATATTCTCGTTTCATCTGTGATGTTTCGTAGTCCATGTTTTCCACTCCTTTTGCTCTCTTTTATGCATGAATACCTGTTTTGACACCAAAGAAAGCAATCAAGCAATATCGAGACCAAATGTACTCTAGAATGCCTATAAATATGCAAAACCGAGTAAAATGCGTTAGACATCTTATACCAAAATATCACCAAAATACATGTTATCAGTAAACATCCAAAACATTCAACCTGTTGTTATTTTCGATGACCAAAATTATGAGTTATGGACTAGACGATGAAGACGACATTGATGCTGAGAGAGAGTTATTTGGACGTTGTCGAAAAAAGCGTTCCAGCACAACCATCGGAGATCACAGAAACTCCGACGAAAAATCAAGAGACGAATCTCACAAAATGGAGGGAGATCAAGATGAAATACATGACAGCCCTCCAACTCCTACAAAATTCCATCACGGATTCCGTCTTCCGAAAGGTAATAACGGCCACGACATCAAATGAGGTGTGGACCAAGCTGCAAGAAGCATATCAATGTAACAAACGAGTCATACTTGTTCGATTACAATCTTTACATACTCAATTCGAAAATTTGAGAATGAAAAATGGAGAAAGAATAAGAACGTATATGGATAGAGTGATGGATATCGCAAATCAAATGGAACAAGTGGGAGAAGGAAAAAAAAATTGAAATCATAAGGAAGATCCTAACAACGATGCCAAAGTCATACGCAACTTTGGTAGCATTGATGGAGGAGACGAAAGATTTCAGAAACATAAGTGTCACAGATCTGGTTAGATCTTTGATCGCACATGAATCAAAGTTCCTATCGGATGAAGAAGGAAATCCAGAAGGAGCTTTTCCAGCTCGATCGAAAAATCACAAAGGAGGTAACAAAAGTCTCTGGAGGTCTAATCCGTAAAGAAAGAAATGGTGTGGTTATTGCAAGAAAGATAATCACGCTGAGGAGGAGTGCTACTTCAAAAACAAGAAGGGCAAACAAGACCAACAAGTGAGGAGGTCGAAAGAATGCTATACTTGTGGAAAGGCATGACATTTGGCTCGAGACTGTAGAAGGAACCAAAGTCATAACGCTCAAGTCACACAAACGGAGGGCATGAATGAACAACTATTTACGGCGCGGGATGAATCTATGATCGCCCAAGGGAAAGACATGTGGCTAGTCGACAGTGGATGCACAAATCACATGTCCAAAGATATCCGGTACTTTAAGAAGATAGACCGAGATATCAAGATCCCTATCCGAGTAGGAAATGAAGTCGTAATCTTGACGGAAGAAAAATGATATATCGTGGTTAACACGAAGAAAGGTGCAAGAGTTATCAAAGATATGTTCTATGTTCCAAAGTTGGACAAGAACCTACTCAGCATTCCTCAAATGCTCCTAAACGTGTACGAACTCAACTTCAAAGAAAGTAGTTGTGTGATTCGTGATCCTATGGGGAGAAAAATTGTCGAATTACAAATGCAGAGGAAGAGCTTTCCAATGCAGCTTGTGAGACCAGACGATTCTACCTATATGGCTAAAGAAGATTCGATGGCTCAACTGTGGCACCGAAGACTCGGACATAGTAGTAACTCATATATGCAAAAGTTACTACAGAAGAATATGGTGAAGGGAATCCCTAAATTTGGCAACTACAATGAGGTGTATGAAGCATGGCAATTAGGAAAACAATCAAGACTCGTGTTTCCATCATCTTCATCAAGAGCTCAGAAGAAACTAGAGCTAGTGCACTCGGATATATGCGGCCCGATGCAAACACCTTTGCCTGATGCAAGCAGGTATTTTCTACTCTTCATCGATGATTACTCAAGAATGATTTGGATGTACTTTTTGAAGAACAAATCAGAAATATTTGGGGTGTTCAAGAAGTTTAAGACTATGGTAAAGAACCAAGCTAAAGAAAAGATCAAAACACTCAGATCAGATCGAGGAGGAAAGTACACATCGCAAGAGTTTACAAGATTCTACGAAAGTCAGGGTATCTCAAAGCAGCTCACGGTGGCATACTCTCCACAACAAAATGGAGTGATATTATTTGAATTCAAGGAAAACAACTTTTGGGCGGAAGCGGTATACACTGCAGTATACCTGCAAAACAGACTACCTTCGGCGGCATTGGAGAATACAACTCCGATTGAGGCATGGACAGGACATAAACCCTCACTAAGTCACTTAAAAATGTTTGGGTGTCTGTGTTATGTCCATGTACCAGATGAAAGGCGAATAAAGCTGGAAGATAAAGCAGAGAAAGGCATGTTCATTGGGTACAGTAGCCAAAGCAAAGGCTACAGAGTTTACTTGTCGGAGAAGCAAAGAGTTGTAGTTACAAGAGATGTCACATTTGATGAAAGTCAAACATGGGATTGGAGCAGAAGCTTAGAGAAAGGAAAAGTTGTTACAGTTCCTGCACCAGATTTCTATAAGGATTCAAGTGGAGAATCAAGTGGTTCAACATCCACCAACACTGGAGAAGTTACTCTAGAAGGAAGTTTATCATAACCTAAAAATCTGAAGACGAGGTCTATGAAGGAGATACTTAAAGTCGCTCCAAGAGTGTTGGGCTATTCTGCAGACATGATGGAAACGTGTTTCATGTGTTCTGTAGAGCAACAAGCTTTGACGAGGCTGAAAGTTATCCATAATGGAGAAAAGCGATGGAAGAAGAAATCAACATGATTGAGAAGAATAATACTTGAGAGTTGGTGGAAAGACCCGAGAAGAAGAAAGCCATCACAGTGGATCTACAAACTCAAGACCGCAGCAGATGTATCTATACAATGGCACAAGGTAAGGCTGGTTGCAAGAGGGTTCAGTCAAAAGTATGGTGAAGACTACACAGAGACGTTTACACCTGTGTCAAGATACGATACCATCAGACTCATACTTGCGATTGCAGCACAAAATAGGTGGACATTATATCACATGGATGTGAAGTCCGCATTTCTGAATGGTGAACTTGAGGAGGAAGTATTTGTGGAACAACCTCAAGGATTTGAAGTAGAAGGCAAAGAAAAACACGTACTGAAGCTAAGAAAAGCTTTGTAAAGTTTAAAACAAGCCCCAAGAGCGTGGTATAGCAAGATTGACGGATATTTTCTCAAACAAGGTTTTGAGAGATGTCCATACGAGGCGACAGTATACATCAAAAGGCTTGGAGAAGATATACTGATCATCTCACTATATATTGGAAGATTCAAAGAAGAAATGATGCATCATTTTGAGATGACCGATCTTGACAAGATGGAGTATTTCTTGGTCATGGAAATAAAGCAAAGTTCAGATAGAGTTTTATTATCCCAAGGAAGCTATGCGAAGAAGTTATTGGAGAAGTTCAAGATGAGTGACTATAAACCGGTCAACATACCACTTGAACCGAATGGTAAGAACATTGATATGGAAGAGGAGAAAGAAGCAGATGCAAAAGAATACCGAAGCATGGTAGGAAGTCTGTTGTACTTAAAGGCCACAAGACCGGATCTGATGTTCGCTGCAAGTTACCTTTCAAGATTCATGAGCAAACCGGAGATGCCACATTTCAAGCAAGCGAAGAGGGTATTGAGGTATGTCAAGGGGACCATTGATCTTGGCTTATACTTCAAACCTGAGAACATTGTACTGTTGTAGGGATACTGTGATAGTGATTGGGTCGGAAATCAAGAAGATATGAAAAGCACAAGTGGCTATGTGTTCAAGATAGGAGGAGTGATATTCTCATGGCAGATACAAAAGCAAGAGGTGATCGCACAATCAACGATGGAAGCAAAATACATCTCAGCAGCAGTTGTTGTAAACCAAACCATATGGCTACGGAATCTACTTGATAACTTGGGATGCAAGCAAGAGGGGAGCACACCGATTTTTCTGTGACAATAGTTCAGTTATTGCCATTGGAAGAAATCCAGTTCAACATCAGAGGACGAAGCACATCAACATCAAGTATCATGTGGTTAGAGAAGCGGAGCACAATGGAATCATTAAACTCACATACGTCAAAGGAGATGAGCAATTGGCGGACATCTTTACAAAGGCACTAGGAGCTTCGAGATTTAAGGATTTGAAGAAGAAACTTGGGATGATGCGCAAATGAATCAAGGAGGAGTATTGAGAAAGTGATTCATTCACTTGCGTCATATTTATGTAATGCTTATATATAAGTGATTACATCATGATGATGTAATACTTATGTAAGGAGTTGTAGAAGTTTGAATTGGTGTGTGTGTGTTAGGTGTGATTGAAGAAAATAAGGATATGGTATGTGTGATTGATTGATAAGTTGTTATGAAGATGTGTGGTTGTGATGAGAGTAGTAGGTTTGGAGTTTTAGTATAAATAGGGGGTGTTGTATAGAATTTTTCATATCAAGTTTTTTTAAGCATTCCTAAGTATTTTTCTCTAAACACTTATCTCTCTTTGATATTTCTTTACAAAGTTCTAAACATAAGTGTTATAAATATTCAATATTCTCTCGTTTTTCTTTATTTGCACTATGTACTAAGTTTCATAACAAAACCTACCTGAAATTTTTTGAGTCCGGACCTAAAATTATAAGCCTTTGCAATTTAAATATTTTGGATCTAATTCTTTTTTGGTATCGTTTTTATTTATTTTAAATTGGATTTTTATTGATTAAAACTATTTATTTTATTATGTATATCATATTTAATTTTAAATGTTTGAACTCTGCTGATTTTATTTAAAATCTATTTCAGTTAATGTTTTGCTCGTGTTTAAATACCTAAAGTGATGACTTTGATTTTGTACAATGAACAACAAACCATCCTATTAAATTGATGGTCCGGAATCGCACATTTTCTACAATATAAGTTACATATCTATAAAAAGATGTAGTACGGCAACATAATTTCCATCCAAAATCCTTCTCTTCAACTAATCTCCTCTCCGAGAGCTTGTCACGAGAAGGTCCGCTGTTCACAGCAGAATCAAAACCACAAAAATAACAAAAGCATTACAAATTTGTATTTCAAACCAAAATGGACCGGTTCGGTTTGCAATAACCGGATGCTAAACCAAGATACGACGCCTCGACTCACCCAACATGTCAAGACACTCTCTGTAACCAAACCAGATGAACCCACTGATAGTCCAGTAATTGACAGAAGTATGAAAAAGAGTTAATGGGGATGATCCAAACACTAGTTCGAATGAATGGAGCGTATGAATACAACATCTTGGCTTAACCAAGGGATATGTTGTCCATGTAATGATATGTCCAGAAGATCAACACTAGAGGCTACAAAAGACGGCGGAAGATGAGCAGCTGATTAAACGACCTTTCCAAAAGAGGAAAGGAAATATGGCATTTGCCTCAAGGAATCAGCATTAATCCGCCCCAAGCTTTAAACTTTCATCTCAATTGGTAGTGAGTGTGTACCCGTGTTAGATGCAACATTCTACAAAAGAACAACGCCTCTAACACTGACGTCATTCCATGGCAATACATAAACCCATCTCTTAAGACAAAAACACTTTCTAAAGTCAGGGGAGATTAATCTGTCACAATAATACTATCTTCTTGGCATGAAAACCCAAACCAGACATTAATATTGTCAAAAGAATACCACAATTCTTAATTATAATGGTCATCTGTAAAAGCCATTGTGAGACTAATGCTAAAAATCCAATTTAAACCAAAAAAGAAAAATAAACAGATGAATGTAACAGAAAACCTATTGAATCTTGTTGCTCTGAATTGTAATTTAGATTCCGACTATTATTATTAGGTAATTCTACAATTATGAAAAAACAAAATTCTATTAACTCCCTCGAAACCCCCCATTCTGCACATAGAACTACAAAGACAAAACAGAGGTCTATAGCTGAGATCCTCTCAATGAAATCACTCTGTTCATCAAATTGCCAACCCAAATCATAAGCAGCAGCAAACACATGACATGATTGGAAGATTGAGCTAATCTGATCGGAACGAATGTTATGACTGCAATTCTTCTCCACAAGAAAATCTTTCATCAGCAAACTACATGCTCGTGAAAAGATATCTCCTTTTCTATCTATCCCTCCATCAACATAATACCAGAAAATACGACAAGCGAACATCCAAACCAGAGTTCTTTCTTCTCCCCAATGTCATCTTCAACCATAATTATTCATTTAATCGTACCGCTCTTATTGACCCCCATTTCCAATTCTTATGAATCCTATTGTAATGCTATATTCTTCAAGAATTTACTATATTTAGGGTGTCAATCTATACAAAAAAAAATCACTAATTACCCTTTTTTTGTGTTGGTTCTTCTGATCAGCGAGGGAGCAATCCCCTCTCCTGCTCGGTGAGGGAGTGGCGGAAGTGGCAACGGTGGCCGTAGGGACACGTGGCGCCATTGACGATCATGCGGCAAACCTCGGTCTTGTAACGTGGGTGGCGAATCACGGGACGGAGCTCGTCTATGCCGTGGGCGAATTGGCAGTGGTCGCCGTAAGGGCACTCGCCGGTCTCTTGCCACTTGTTGCAGAGCTCCGTCTTCACCATCCCTTGACGATAAACCTCCAATTCCACCGCCTCTTTCTCTCCTTTACCGCTCGTTGGCACACATACTCTCTGAGGAACCTACACATACACAAAACATCATTTCCTTTAAATTGCTTTTAATGACCTGTTAAAAAGGAAAATTTGCTTTTAACTAAAGAATTATTACGCAATATTTACATAAGGAGATCGCCGTAAAAAAAATATTTACATAAGGAGAGAGATTTTTTCTGATGTTACCGAGTCGGAGACGAGTTGACTCGTGAACCTATGCTGACTCGCCTGGCGACTCGCACCGCCATATCCATGGCTTCGCTTGTTCATTCTGAGATAGCCACTCGATCTGACGGAGATGCTCTTCGGCAACACAGTTCTCTCCACATTGTTCCTCCTCACGGGGCGGCTGGGCTCGAGACTTCCGCCATGGCGACCGAAATCTGAGATTTGTTGGCGCTTGGGTAGGTTGGGGACGGGCAGCTGAGCGGCGTTGGATGAGATATTTGTGGTGGGGCATTGGTGGATAAGCCTGAGGATTTCAGCGTTTGCCAGGCGTAAAGCGGCGTTTTCCTGGCGGAGAGACTCAAGCTCCGTCGTAAGGGAGTTGAGGCGGAGGAGGCATAGCTCATAGTTCTCGTTGAGTTCGTTGCAGTCGTAAGGGAGTTGAGGCGGAGGAGGCATAGCTCATAGTTCTCGTTGAGTTCGTTGCATTCGAGGATTACCCGCGCCTGGTGGAGGCGGTTCTCGGTGGTGATGTCGGGGGGAGCCGCCGGTGAGGAAGACGACGGAGGAGAAGGAGACAGGGACAGAGAGCTTGGAAACTGCGATTCCGACGAGAAAATGGACTGGTAAAGCGATGCGAAGTTTGCGGCGAATTCTTCCTGGTGCTTGTGACTACTTTTATCCGACTGCGGAGACAGTGGAGGCGGTGGCGAGTTCAGCGTCGTGACACTCGTGGGATCTGAACCAAGAGAGGCATCTTTCTCCATTATCTATGTCCAAAATCTTCCTGTAAAAACGACCAAACAGAATTACCAAATTGATCCTGACCCCTTACCAGAAAATCTTTTCCGATCAGATGTGCTCGCAGAACAAAAAAAAATAGGACGACAGATCACCGTTTCGGCAAAAATTACTTCACATACGTTAGATTACGTGCACCAACATCGAATTTAATCGGAGAGATCTAAGAGCATTCCCAAAAACCAAAGGCCTGAACTCAATTTCCTTCAGAATCGATCTACTCAGATGATCAAGTCAACAATGGATAAAAATTTCACAAGCGATACGTGGAGTTCAACGAAGAAGACGACGAACAACTTCACAATCACGCAAGAAGAGAGGCGAAGAAACAAAGGAGAGAGAGAGAGAATACTTGAAGATCTTTGAACTGGAGAGCGTAGAGAATTGAAGAGAAAGAGCAGCGAAATAAAGACGAAACAATGCTGTATATATGCGCGCGCACACTGAAGAACCACTGGAGAAGACGAACAGAGTTAGATCATCTACGACACGGACCACCGTATACTTTATTCAACTATTCGATCCACACCGTAAGAGAAAAATCCCATTGACCATCTCACCTAATTATCTGACACGTGGAAGTACTTCATTCGTCAACCGCACGGTTTTGCTGTTTCCGTCCGCCGCTTCCCGCCAACCTCAGAACCGTTAGGGACGCTCTAACAGAATATTATTATTATTTTTAATCAATTTTTTTTATATGGAGAAAAATGTACGTAGCTTCAAGAACAAAAGTAGTAAAAAACATTATATTATTTATTCATGTAAATGCAAGTATAGGATATGGTGGTAGAAATATTAGTTATATATAGTTTGTATAATGTCTTATCATTTCCATGAATGAAATGAAACAACAGTAAATAGATATCAACACTTTCAAAAAAATATTATCCAATTAATTTTATTTAGGTTAGATGAAAATCAGTGGTTGGTTAGAGGAAATTGTTTGCTTGTCATTAAAGGATTTTAAGGGTACATGGAGGAAATGGAATTGAAATGTGTTATGGGTTTGCAAGGAGTGTTTGTTGATTTGAATGTTTGGTTGGTCCAATAATGAACATGAGAATGAAACAAATTGTGTTCTGATTATTTACAAAATATATAATATAGTGTTCTGATTATTTGTATATTGTTTTATTTATTTGTTTTTTTTTTTTGGTTTTCAATGTGATTTGTATTATATATCAGAAGCCAAGATTGTTTTTTACAATCAATCTGGATCGTTTACAAAAATGAGTACAATTCCCATGCTAAGGCCAAAAGATCAATAGGTAACCAAAAATCGAAAGCTCAGATGGATACAAAAAAAACTAAAATTGGTGGCTTGCTGTTAAGAAATACCAGTCCTGCAGAATAGAAGAGTCTGCAGATATTGTCTCAAGTCGGCGAGCTAAGAGTATATTTCGGATACTTCGATCAGCCAGTCGGAGTGCTACGTTTGGCGGAATTGCAGTCCTTCGGAATAACCGAGCGTTCCTCTCTTGCCATATCGTGTCGGCGGCGATATGGACGATCAGCTTGGATAGTGGTTGTTTGCTTCTGCTTGTGTCGTGTCGCGGGTAGCGCAACCATTGTAGGATGTCGGCCATGGTTGAGGGCGGGTCAGACCAGCATCTGGCCGCTAGATTTCTCCAAACTTCACTGCTGTACATGCAGTCAAAAAACAAATGTTGGTGGGTTTCCGTTAAGTCACCGCAGAGAACGCAGATAGTGTTTTATTTATTTGTTGGATTTGAATAAGAATGTGATAGGAAAGGTGGAATTTTTATGTGGCTTGCTTCAACAGCACAGCTTTAACTAACAATGGTCCCTTTTTTTTCAATGTTCTTCAACCAAAATCTTCTTGCTTGTTCCTTTTTAACCAAACAACACCAAATTGAAACTTTTTTTTTTTGGTATTACTTGATGTTTCTTAATAACCAACCATTGATTTCTCTATTATTTTTTTAGATAGACTAAGATATGTTTAAATAATATTCAATTATTAATCGACATCTTTAAATTTTATACATTTATATTAATCTTCATTCGTTTCTAGATCAACACAGTACTTCGTTCTCAACAATAAAATAACAGGATTCGAATATATGATCTCTGGTTAAGTGATAAACCAGAATAAAGATATTGAACCATCTATAGGAGTTTCCGGTTATTGACTTCTCTATTGTTTTGAGTTTATATATATGGGAAATCAACGGTTAGTCACACAATGGTTGTATAAAGTGATTTCATATTTTTTTTATATGTTTGGGCACTTAGAATTAAGAGATCATTAATTTGAATAAATCCGTTCAATTTTGGGTTTTATATAAATTTGTTTTTGGAATTTGGAATCCTGGTTTAGTAATGTGAATGTTTTGTAACTAAACAAAAGTTATGCACTATTGGTTGATTCATTAATGGGCTTTATTGGGATATTTTATGGACTGGCGAACAAAATGTCATATGAGGCATCAAATAATTGTTAGAAGGCCTACAAAATGCCATATGAATTACTATGATTTATTCTTTATATTTTAAATTCGGCCTTCTCTAACGATCCAATCCCTAAAGGGGTTCAGCCCATTTATGCAAAAACCGTGTGCGCACATACGTAAAATCCTATATATATATATTGCGTTCCCCATCTTATCCTGCTCTGTATCAAACCAAGCATGAGACCGAGAACCAAAGGAACCAACAAAAACGCCAACGTTTACCTCTGGGACTGGAAACCAGATTCCAAAACCGGGAAATCCCAAAACCGGACCGAATTTCCGGTCATCAGATTCCTCCGGGAGCAAACCAAGAACATCAGGGCCAAACCCGCCGGTCCTGGAATCGGCGGCGGCTTCGGCTGCGGCGCCGGAATCGGATTCGGCTTAACCGGCGGACTCGGGATCGGCGGAGGAGGAGGCGGAGGCTTCAACCACATGAATCTGGTGTTTGGTGTCGGAATGGGTTGCGGAATCGGGTTAGGGTTCGGTTACGGGTACGGATTCGGCGGTGGGTTAAGCTCAGAAGACATTGAAGATTACTTGTTCTCCCTGGATGGCTCTGGTTCGAATTCCGGTTCCGGTTAAGTTAAAGGTATGTTTTTTTTTTATTAAGGAATTTTTTCTTTTTTTCTTGTGTTCTTAGATGGGTGCTGGTTAAATTTGTGTTGAGTTAAACAAAAATGCTGAATATGCTTCTATTTTTCTCATAAACATCCTTTGCCTTTATGGGAAATTTAAATGTTATTAGATTTTATAATTATGGGTAATATTTGAAACTTTATGTGCCAAGTCGGTCGAAAAATATGTGTAGAAATTAATCGGCTAATTTAAGTCAATTAGTCAGAATTAGTGTGCGTTGACTGAGTGAACATGGAAGACAAGAGGAGAGTCATGTTCTAAACACCGACCAAACCAAGTTAGAGGGAAGCAAACAACTTCAGATGCAGCTATATGTCAATTTCATTTACAGAGCTTAGCAACGAAATCTACGAGAGAATTTGTGAAAAAAAAACAAAAAGAAGAAGGAGAGGCGATTTTCATGTGAATGGTTCACCATATGCATTTGTACACTCGAACAGGCTGAAGTTCTTCCAAGTTTGGAACTTTCTTCTTCTTCTTGATGATCAAGAAAATGGGTGTTGGTGCGATACGGATTTCTCGATCGAGTTCTCACTGGGTTTAGCAGAGACGAAGTTTGTCCGTACATGTTAATGGCAGCTTTCACCGATCCGGTTCTTGTTTCGCCCCCAAAATTCCCCCTCGGCCATTGCTGTGTTGCCGAAAGAAAACTCAAACTCAAACGACATTCGCAGACTAACTACACTACCCAACGACCAAAGTCAAGACTTTCATTCCAGAAACTATTGAAGACCCCAGAAATTTCCACAAATAGCGGAGACTGGTAATCAAGATTAAAACTTTCGCAATATGATGACAGGGGTAAACTTCAGCAAGTATTTTCATCGATACATCCCTCAAAATCTAAAATATTTTTTTATCAGATTCTACAACCCATTTTAGGTAAAATAACTTAAATAACCTTATACATAAAATATCTAAAATACTCTTTTACATTTGAATTTAAAAATATATATATATTAAAAATATTTTAAAATATTTTCGTTTTAATTTGTCCACATGACTTTTTTAAATTAATTTCGATTTCATCTTTTTTTTTGTGAATAGGCACACTTTTCAAAATTTTAAATATATTCGTTCTAATTTATCTACGTAGTTTTTTCAATTAATTTGGTTACAATTGATACTATTTTTTTTTGTTACAATTATTACTTTTTATTTACAACTTGTTTTTGGTAGCATATACAACTCCTTGTGCTTGGTTTTTTTATGCACAAACTGGATCCAGATTTCGATTTCGGTAGATCTCCATCTCGCTCTGCAATAAAATAAATGTATTCAGTTGCATTAGCGACTAGTATACATATTCAAATACTATTACGACTAATTCATTTTACAGATATTTATATAATATTTAGTGGCATCTACCACTACTTTAGATGACAATTTTGTAATTCTAAGTTGCGAATAAGACTAATTAATATACGCACAAAATATTTCTCAATTTTTCAGATAATCTGAACGAATTCGAAAAAAACTCATCCAAAATACTCACATCAACATGGGTAGAAGAATCTTCTGTCATTTTCCTCCGTGGATTTGTTTTTCCGGTCGACCGAGATGCGTCGCTCCGATTTGGACCTTTTCACCCGACGAAGACAAAGATTCCTCTTGATTCTGGGTTTCTTCGCTCTATCTCGCTAGGTTCGCTTCATTTTGCTCGATTTCGCACACAAAATTTCGTTTCTCTCTCAACACCTTCGTATGTCTTTTGATTTTCGAAAAGTAATTTTAAAAAGCCCTAACTCCCCCTTTCTTCTTTTTATTTCGGCGTCATTCTCAAAATTTTAACCTACACGTGTCTTTCATTAAGGGTAGGAAAGACTTTTCCAGGTTTTTTAAGGGTAAGTCTGTAATTTGATAATTAGTTATATTTTTGAGGTGTATCGGTGATATACATGCGACAGTAAAGGTGTATTGCTGAAGATTACCCTGATGACAGACAGACCCAGATAAATTCAGCCAAAAATACAACAAGGGTTGTGCCAAGAAATTTATTCAGCCCTAAGATTTACTGGAAAAAAGGAGAATGTGTATTTGATTAATCGGGCGTCTTCCCCGTTATTGCTCAACAAATCGCCTTTTGAGATCTTGCAGGGAAAACTTCCAGACTATGGGCACTTACGAGCATTCGAATGTCTTGTTTATGCATCCACTTACGTCACTGACAGACATAAGTTTGCATCTCGGGCTCGAGCGTCGGTTTTCCTGGGCTATCCTCCAGGATACAAAGGGTATAAGCTTCTCGATCTTGAATCCAACTCTATTTTCATTTCTCGACACGTTGTTTTTCATGAGAATATTTTCCCTTTCACAGTCGACGATGGTCCTCAGTCTCTATTCCCTTCCATTTTTTCTGATTCCATCTTGCCTTTACCCATCCCCTCCCCTGATCTTTCTGTTTCTCAATTACCCAATCCTTCGTCACTCACTCGGAAGAGAAGAAGATGCATTTGCCTCACATCGTGTCGGTTTTCTTTTTTCCTCTGGAAATTTATCATTAGGTTAATTTGATTCTCAATGACATTAACATACATTAGTTGAATTTAATAACGTAAGTGGTGGATGAAACAGATCCCCAACAATTTATGAGACTCTTTTTAATTATTATTAATGATATATAATCATTAAAAAAACTATATTTATTGTGTAATATGAAGAGACAAAATCAATAATTTATAATTTTAATTAAATAAATTTTTTAAAAACTAAAATCAAATATATAAACAGAGGAGTAACAAATTAAATATTTATAAAACTCGTAATTAATAAAAAAAATTTAGTTACAAATTTAAAAATCAATTAAATTTTTACAGATGAAAAAAAATAAATTAATTTTTTTAGTTCTAACTAATATATTAGAAAAAATTCTAAAAAGAAGGCATTTATGATTACAAAAGTTTCGACGTATTATTTACAATTATATATAAAATTACAAATCATTTACCTTTTAAAAAAAAAAGAGAACATACAATTATTATTAAAGTGTTGTTTTATTTTCTTATTTTTAAATTACAATTATTATATTAACATTTTCATATCTTTCTTAAAAATTGTATTTAAATATTTAAAAATGTTATAATAAAATATTTTTTTTTATATAGGGCCCTAGTTTCCTAGAAATATAGGAAACGGCTATGTTATAGGTCAAATTAAGTGTCACATTGATGATTGTGCATTATTGTAAATCACATATGGAAAACTTACCGCAAAACTGCTAATAATTTACCCAAACTAAACGAGTAAAATTGAAAATAATAACCAAACGATGTTCAAGTAATTAGGCCTACCGACCACACATATGAACTAGGGCTACTACTTCGGTTTAATCATATAAAATTAAATAGAATTCGTCCATGTTACATATAAAATATATTTATTAAATTAATCTGATTTGTATAGGGTTTAAATGGAATATAAAATGCCAAATAAAAATTAAAAATTTAAAAAATTAGTTCTAATAATATCGAATATGAAAAGCATCCTAATAAAATTCAATTGATTCAAATGAAATTGAATATGGAAGACAAATACATTTAAGTTTTCAAAATCCAAATCCTGAAATAACTAAAACAAAGCGCAAGACATCAAATAATAGCTACGACTATGAAAATTTTCAATCATTTACTTAATCCGAAATATATAATAAGTTTCATTTAAAAAGTTCCGAATTTTACCCAAATTGTGCTAAAAAAACAAAACAAAATCTCAAATGCATAGTTTTCTTCTCGTATTGAGAAGATTAATTCGTCACAATCCCGAATATTACATCAATTAATAAATAATATTCGATATTTCGACCAAATTTACTCCAATAATTGTTAGGTTAGGTGGCATTGAAATAGTTTATGTTACCTTTTTTGTATTGGTAAATAATAAATGATCCATTCGAAATCCATATCTTATAGTAATAATTTCGATAGAAAAAAGTTCGACTTTCGTAAATTAACGGGTCCCACATCTCATCACGTGGGACCCATTCTGGCCTATAAAACCCCTCGATCGTTCTTCTTGCCAAAATCAAAAGAGAAAAAAAAACAACAAAACACAGCCATGAACACGACTTACAAAACTTTCCTCTTCGCTTCTTCTTCATCTCCATCTCTAATGGCGACGATGCTTCTGACCACTCTGCTGATTATGTCGGCCCACGTGGCATCTCGTCCGAACGAACCGCCATCGTTCCGTCTCGCCAGTGAGCCAGTGAAGAAGTTAGAGTCGGTGAAGCGTCCACGTCCGTCAACGATCTATGCACGGCCGCCAACTAATCTCGCCGACCAGACAGTGAACAGAGACACCGAAACGACGGCGTTTGAGTCGGAAAAGCGTCCACGTCCGTCAACGATCTATGCACGGCCGCCAACAAATCTGGCCGACCAGAAAGTGAACAGCGACGCCGAAACGACGGCGTCTGAGTCGGAGAAGCGTCCACGTCCGTCAACGATCTACGTCCGGTCGCCAACTAATCTCGCCGACCAGAAAGTGAACAGCGACGCCGAAACGACGGGGTCTGAGTCGGAGAAGCGTCCACGTCCGTCAACGATCTACGTCCGGTCGCCAACTAATCTCGCCGACCAGAAAGTGAACAGCGACGCCGAAACGACGGCGTCTGAGTCGGAGAAGCGTCCACGTCCGTCAACGATCTACGTCCGGTCGCCAACTAATCTCGCCGACCAGAAAGTGAACAGCGATGCCGAAACGACGGCGTTCGAGTCGGAGAAGCGTCCACGTCCGCCAACGATCTACGCACGGTCGCCAACTAATCTCGCCGGCGAGACAGTGAACAGCGCCAAAACGACGGCGTATGAGTCGGAGAAGCGTCCCCGTCCAGATATTCCGGCCGACGTCAATTAATATTGACCCATTTCCGACCACTACTCCGGCGAACGGACATTGCACGTTGGTGATGTTGGTTGTTTGTCTTGTCACCCTCTACAGCTAATTATGGTAATAAACGATCATATATATATATATATGTGATTTAGATTAGAGTTGGAATTTAAATAAATGTTACCAACGTGGTTACTTACGATGTTCCTAAGCTACGGAAGCAAAAGATCAATCAAATTCTTCATTTTATGTTGTTTTTTTGTTAAATATATTAGTGAACACTGGCTT